TTAGGTCTTTACTAAATGTTCGATAAAATTCAGTGGTGAAACCATCTGAAACAGGGGATCTGTTCTTAGGTAGTTTTTTGATTACCAATTCAGTTTCATTGCTGGTAATTGGTCTGTTTGGATTTTCTGTTTACTTCTGGGTCAGCCTAAGAAGGTTTTATTTTTCTAGAGAGTTATCCATTTCTTCTAGGTTATCCAGTTTGTTAGCATATAATTTTTCATAGTATTCTCTAATAATTCTTTGTATTTCTGTGGTGGTGTCGATAATGATTTTTTCTTCCTCATTTCTGATTCTGTTTATGTGTGTACTCTTTTTTTTTTCCTGAAAAGTCTGGCTAGGGATTTATTTATTTTGTTTATTTTCTCAAAGAACTAGCTCCTACTTTCATCGCTTCTTTCTATTGTTTTATTCTTCTTGATTTTATTTATTTCTGCTCTAATCTTTATTATGTCCCTCCTTCTATTGACTTTGGGCCTCATTTGTTCTTCTTTTTTTAGTTTCATTAATTGTGAAGTTTATACTGTTCATATGGGATTGTTCTTCTTTCTTGAAGTAAGCCTGTATTGCAATATATTTCCCTCTTATCACAGCTTTTGCTGCATCCCACAGATTTTGCAGTGTTGAGTTATTATTTTCATTTGTCTCCATATATTGCTTGATCTTAGTTTTTATTTGGTCATTGATCCATCGATTATTTAGTAGCATGTTGTTAAGCCTCCATGTGTTCGTGGGATTTTTTGTTTTCTTTGCATAATTTATTTCTAGTTTCTTACCATTGTGATCTGAGAAGCTGGTTGGTACAATTTCTATCTTTTTTAATTTACTGAGGCTCTTTTTGTGGCTTTGTATATGAGCTATTATTGAAAATGTTCCATGGGCACATGAGAAGAATGTGTCCTGTTGCTTTTGGATGGAGTGTTCTGTAGATGTCTGTTAGGTCCATCTTTTCTAGTGTGTTGTTCAGTGCCTCTGTCTCCTTAATTTTTTTTCTGGTTGATCTGTCCTTCAGAGTGGATGGTATGTTGAAGTCTCCTAAAATGAATGCACTGCTTTCTAATTCCCCCTTTAATTCTGTTAGTATTTGTTTCACATATGTAGGTGCTCCTGTGTTGGGTGCACAGATATTTATAATGGTTATATCCTCTTGTTGGACTGGCCCCTTTATCATTATGTAATGTCCTTCTTTGTCTCTTGTGACTTTCTTTGTTTTGATGTCTATTTTGTCTGATACAAGTACTTCAACATCTGCTTTTTCTCCCCATTTATTGCATGAAATATCTTTTTCCATCCCTTTACTTTCAGTCGTGTATGTCTTTGGATTTGAAGTGAGTCTCTTGTAGGCAGTGTATAGATATTTTTTAATCCAGTAAGTGGCTCTATGTTGCCAGAGTCCAGCTCCAGCCGAGGTGCGGGTCACCAAGGAAAGGACAGCATCAGCGAGTGAGGAGATGAGTGAGGAGACGAAACACCCAGTTAAGGCTGTTACATCTCCTCACTCATCTCCTCACTCACTGACGCTGTCCTTTCCTTCATGACCCACACCTCAGCTGGAGCTGGACTCCGGCACTCTGTCTTTTGATTGGTGCATTCAGACCATTTGCATTTAGGGTGATTATTGATAGGAATGTACTTTTTGCCACTGCAGGCTTTAGATTCATGGTTACCAAAGGTTCAAGGTTAACTTCCTTACTATCTAACAGTCTAATTTAACTCACTATACTATTACAAACACAATCTAAAGGTTCTTTTTTTCCCTCTTTTTGCTTTCTCCTCCATTCTTCATATATTAGATATCATATTCTGTACTCTTTGTCTATCCCTTGACTGACTTTGGCAGTGGTTGATTTGATTTTGCATCTGCTTAGTAATTAATTGTTCTACTTTCTTTACTATGGTTCTATTTCTTCTGGTGGTAGCTATTTAGCCTTAGGAACACTTCCATCTATAGCAGTCCCTCTAAAATGCACTGTAGAGATGGTTTGTGGGAGGTAAATTCTCTCAGCTTTTGCTTATCTGGAAATTGTTTAATCCCTCCTTCATTTAAATGATAATGTTGCTGAGTAGAGTATTCTTGGTTCAAGGCCCTTCTGTTTCATTGCATTGAATATATCATGCTACTCCCTTCTGGTCTGTAAGGTTTCTGCTGAGAAGTCTGATGATAGACTGACGGATTTTCCTTTGTATGCCATCTTTTTTTCTCTGTCCGACTGCTTTTATGACTCTGTCTTTATCCTTGATCTTTACCATTTTATTTATTATATGTCTTGGTTTTGTCTTCCTTGGGTCCCTTGTGTTAGGAGATCTGTGCACCTCCATGGCCTGAGAGACTATCTCCTTCCCCAGATTGGGGAAGTTTTCAGCAATTACCTCTTCAAAGACACTTCATATCCATTTTTCTCTCTCTTCTTCTTCTGGTACCCCTATAATGCGAATATTGTTCTGTTTGGATTGGTCACACAGTCCTGTCAACATTCTTTCATTCCTAGAGATCCTTTTTTCTCTCTGTGCCCAAGCTTCTTTGTATTCCTCTTCTCTAATTTCTATTTCATTTACTGCCTCCTCTAATTCATCTAATCTGATTTTAAATCCCTCCATTGTATGTTTCATTTCAGATACTCTATTCTTGAACATTTGTATCTCATTCCTGAATTTCTCCCTATGTTCTTGAATATTTTTTGTAGCTCCATGAGCATGTTTATGATTTTTATTTTTAAATCTCTTTCAGGATGATTGATGAGTTCAGTTTCACTTGCCCCCTCTTTCTGGTGTTTGTGAGATTTTGGTGTAAAACATATTCCTTTAATGTTTCATATTTGTAGCACCCTCTAGTGCCCAGAAGCTCTACTCTCTGGAGCTGCTTAGCTTCTGGCACGATGGTGGAGTTACAGAGGAGTGGCCCTGCTTCCTGGTGGGAGGAAAGTGGTCTTTCCTGCTTCCCAGCTGCAGTGCCTGTCTCTACTGTGAAGGCCAATGGGTCGAGAATGCAGGGAGGAGCCTCTGTGCTTTGCACTTGTAGCTGCCAAAGGCGGGGCTGCCCTCTTGCTGGTCTGGTGTAATGGCAGGGGCAGTCAGTTTGTGAGTTGGTACCAGCCAGAAGGTGAAACAGGCTGTGTATCACTGTGGGGGGCCTTGGAGCTGCGTAGATAGCCATGGGCATGGAGCTCCTGAAGCTCCTGAAAGTTCCTAACCTGCTGGGCAGAGTGAGCCTGGACAGTTTTGTCCACTTGTCCTTTTTCTTGAGCAGCAAGCTCTGTGAAATCCTTGCCCCTTTAGCAGCCCCATCACTATTAGGAAGTCTCTCAGACTGCCCACCTCTCTTTTGTCCCAGTTCAGCTGGATGTGGATCCCTGTTTTCTGCACGTAGCTGGAATCTCAGTCTCTCCAAGTATTCTGCCTGTCTTAGCTTTCCAACCCCACTAATCTCCAGAGCTCCATGCAATGTAGGTTCCTGCTCCCAGAGCAGATCTTCAGGGCTGGGTGTTCAGGAGTCCTAGGCCTCCACCCCTTCCCCACTCCATTTCTCTTCCTCTCCAGGTGAGCTGGGGTAGGAGAAGGGCTTGGGTCCCTCCGGATCACGGCTTTGGTATTTTGGTCTTTTGGTTTTCCTTGAGGTCTGTTGGTTTCTGCAATGTAGATAGTTTGCCACAGCCTTCTTTCCTATTGCTCTTTCAGGATTTGATGTATTTGTTATATTTTCTATTATATGTGGTTTTGGGAGGAAGTTTCTGTCTACTTCTCACGCCACCATCTTTAATCCATGTGCTGGCATTATTTTAACAGGCTGTGTTCATTAGCAGTTTCTTCTCTAAAAGAGGAATTTCTCTTCTGTATCTGAGGACATCTAAGTCTCATAAGGATGTTTTGTTAGGAAGCAGTGAAAAAATAATAATCCCTTTGACAAGATTGCTCTAGTTGCTGAGAAGTTGAGCTTTGCTCCATGTCTAGATCACCAGGGTAAATATCTGTAAGCCTTGTATGGGGCCAAGAGAGTCCCAGGCATGTTAGACCCCAGGACTCCCTTTTTGACAAAGTCAGACATGGTTAATTTCACTCACAATACTTCAAACGAACTCTGTTCCATTTCTGAAAATAGATGATATTTTTGCATTTTGAGATATCTGGTTTTGATAAAGTCGTAATATTTGTCAGGAGAAAATAAGGGAAAGGAAACTGACATTTATTAAGAGCCCACATGTGCCAGACACTATGTTTAGCACTTCAAGTTATGTTACCTTGATTTGGGGGAGAGGACTACTCCTCTGAGACCTGCGTTTAATTTGTGAGAGACCATTATAAGCATCCTTTGGATATCATCAACAATTAGAAAGGCTTTTTTTTTTTAAAGGTTTCACCCTTAAGAAAGAGAAGTTAAAACTACAAACCAAGCAACTTTTCCTAATCATTCTGATCAAATCACACTTTTATTCCATAGAAGTAGATCAACAACTATATATGTATATATATATATATGTATATGTGTATATATATAATCAAATATGTTTATTGTCAAATATGTATATAGTCAAATACACACACACACACATACGATTTGACTTCACAAGACCCTGATGACACTCTTCATTTTGCTAGAACTAACCTTAATATTTATGTCTTTAGGATGGTATGGAGGACCACAAAGCTTTGGAATGGAGGAAAACTTCTAGCTAAAACCCCTTTTTTTACTTTCTTATAACAGCAGAGGAGAACAAGTGTCACTGGAATGGAACCAAGTCCCTGCTTTCAGAGAGGGGCACAAGCTACAGTCCCACCACAGGCTTGTCCTCAGGCAGCTCATGTCAACTGGGCAGGCAGTATGACAGGGCGCTGACCAGTGAGCCTGGTGTTGGCCTTGGGGCCAGAGGGGGACCAAGTCCTGGACACCCTTGCTGGGCCACACATTAATCCTCCATTCACACGGGTGGGCCTGGGTGGGGGAACAGCTGAGATCCTCAGGACACCAGCTATTTACTACCCAGTACCTAACTCAACCATTTTACAGCCTGTATGACCATACCAAAGGATAGGCAGACCAAGGCCCCGGTGGTAACCCCTAACCAGAGTGACTGCTGGGCTTTAGAGAAGAATGAAGAGTATTCATTGGAACAGGTGCTATAAAAAGTAAGTTCCTGGGTGGAGCATTTAGTGGAATTCCCATCCCACAGTTGGTCATTCTTTCTCTCTCTCAGTCTCTGCTTCTCTCTCTTTTTCTCTTTCCTGAACATTCATTCCCCTCTTGTTTCTGCTACTCATTTGACTCTTACCTTCTGCTACATGTACTTTCCTCCTAAGTGTGTGGCTAGCCTTCTCAGCCAGATTGTACACTGTGTTAGTTATCTGTTGCTGCGAAATAAAAGACTGCAAATTTAGCACCTTAAAGCATCAGATGTTTATTATCTCACACAGTCACTGAGGATCAGGAATTTGAAAGCAGCTCAGCTGGCTAGGTCTGGCTCAGGGTGTTTTACGAGGTGGCATTTAAGCTGTCAGCCAAGACTGCAGTCATCTGAGGGTTTGACTGGGGCTGGGAAATCCACTGGCCATGGCAGCAGGCTTCCATGCAGCAGCAATCTAAGAAAGCGAGGCAGAAGCCAACGTCTGTAATAGCCTCAACTCCGAGTGATGCACCATTATTTCCGTCTTGTACTACTGGCCCACAGACCCACCCTGATACAATGTGGGAGGGATCCATGCAAGGATCTGAGCACCAGGAGACAGCATTATGGAGGGTCATCTCAGAAGGTGGCTATCGTAATCCTTCTTCAAGGGACAGCTGATTCTCACACATCTTTTTGTGGCCAGTATTTGGCACAGTCTGGTTAGGTAGGAAGTACCCAGTGAGGTTTGTTGATGATAAAGAGAACTGGGCACTCCACATAAGGTGGACATGAAGGAAAATACTCCTGAGGATGCGGCACAAATGACCTGCCTCATTAAGTTGTTGTGAGACTTAAATGGAATGACACATTTAAAAGACTTAGAACAGGTCCTTGGCAAATGGCAACTGCTCAATCCATGTTAGCGTCCACATGTATTGAGAGCATTGTCCACAATGCTGAGTGCATTTCATTTAACCCCACACCTCTGTGAGTGACGTATTGTTATAATTCCATTTTACAGATGAACCAGCTGAATTTGGAAGGAATTCATTCACTGGTCCAAGGCCACATGGCAGTAGGTTGAAGAGGAGAGATTAGAATCTAGGAGTATCTAACTCCAGACCCAAATTTGTAATGGAGGCACCCCCCTGCTCACAACGCTGTACTGGCAGCAAGGATGTAGACTTTGCTGAGACCAAATGGGCTTCCCTTGTTCCTTCCCTTATTCATTCATCCAACGTACATTAAGCACCTGTTATGCACCAGGTATGATGCTGGATCCTGGGGCACCCTCCCTCCCCAACCAGCCATTTTCCCACCTCTCTCAGCCTCCCCACCTCTATCCACAGCTGATGCTCTTTTGGTAATAAAAACTATATAATATAACTACAACATTGTCTTCCTGGCAATTCTTCTCCATTAACATCAGAATTAATGACCTAAACCTGATTTGTTAGGGGGCTGATGTTTCATTTTAACATTTCCTGAATTAAAAGCATTTAATAAATGCTATGTAATACACAGTGAGGTACAAAATATGAAAATAATTTAATTTCTTAACACAAGGCTTTTCTTTTTTCACAAAATGCAAAAGAAAAGTGTTGCCAATGAGAAGCTCCTAGTTTGATCACAATCTTACTGTAATCTGTAATTTCACTGTTATCATCACACACATCGTATTTTGACATATTTTGTAAGAGGGAAATGACAAAGCATTGTCATTGGTGATTAGCAACAAAAGCATTCAAAATTGCTTTTAAGCACTGTCCTCATTGCCTGATCCCAGGAGGAGTTAGCAAGCCCTTCAGGATAAGGTCACCATTCTGTCACCGTGTGCCCACTCCTTCCCCTGAGTTGGCCTGCAGTGTGGACTGTGAAGCAGATTGGTCTCACAGGATTCCAGAAAAAACATAGAAAGGGGTTATCCTCTGGCTGAAGATAAGCATCTGCCAAAAATATAGTTTCTTAGGTTGTGTTACATTGAGAAATGAAATGCTTATAAGTAAATGACAAATATTATGAGTTTCATTATCTCAGCCACTGTGTCCAGTAAAAGGGACATTCTGATCATCACCCCAATCTGAGGAATTCTGACAAAGGGACTCAAGAATGGTTTTCTCCACCTCCACTCTCAATCCCCAGAGAGCCCATTCCCATCTGTAGACTGACCCTGGCGCACAGAAGGACTTGACTTCCTGCAACAGGCAAATAATCAAGGCAATAAGCAGCCACACATTTCTGTCTTGAGACCGCTTGGCAGGTGGGCTGCCTGCCCCCCAGGGCCGACCGTGAGCCCTGTGCTCATCACTCCAGCAGCGGATGGCCCAGGTCTGTCTGAAGCTGCACTCATGACCCCTCCAGATGTCACTGCTCTTCATCTTGGCCCATGCCTCCCACCTCGACCCATCCCTGGTCTTCTGCTGGCAAATCATTTGGGGTTTGTTCACGAGCTCCCTAGGTTTGAACCTCCCCTGGGGACTTTGGCTTACCGTGTCCAGTCCCTCTGGCTGGGTATTAGCTGTCTCAAGCTAATTCTGGAAGAGAAAACATCTTGTTCTTGCTCCGTGCCCCTGCCTCCCCCTGCACATTGTGCGCCAACTGCACAATGCTTCCACCAGAGGAGTCAGCCACATTGTAGGATGGAGGGACACTGGTAAGCTCAGTTCTCCTTGTTCCAAGAGCCTAGTGCATAAAGTTCCCCAGGCACAGTGTTGGGCATCTGTGTTTCTCAAACCTGAGCCTGCCTCAGAATCCCCTGGAGGGCTGTGAAGACAAGTTGCCAGGCCCCACCTCAGAGTTTCTGAATCAGTAGGTCCGAGATGGGGTCGAGAAGTGGCATTTCTAACCATTTTCCAAGGATGCTACTGCTCCTGCTCAGGTGTTTGAGGGCTAAGCAGCCAGCCAGCCAGGGAAGGGGGAAGGCTGGCTGCACCTCCTGTGACCTACAGCTGAGCTGGTCGCCGGCATGAAGACATGACGTGGACCACCTCTGGAGCACCTTTGAGTAGCCAGCAAAAGCCCAGCTTGGTGGTGGAGGATGAAGCCTCTTTTACCCGGCCTACGGGTGCGGCCACCTTTCTGTGTGGCTGGAAGGCTGCAGAAAGAAAGTAGACTTTGGAGTCAAACACACCTTGGTCAGAATTCTGCCTTTCTAACTTACGGTTTATGTAGCATCTCTGGACCCACAGACTAGGATAAGAACATCTACTTCCGAAATTGCTGTGAGGCTTCCGTGGGACACGTGCAGCCCTCCCACAGCCTGGGGGGAGAGGAGCTCAGCATCATTACTAGGTCCACGGGGACATTTCTCTTAAGTCCTACCCTTTGGCAATGAGTGGGTCCTGGTGTCACCCTTGCAAACGTGGTTTTCCTTGGTATTTTTCACCCCTTACAGTTTCCTTTAGCAGACTCCGGGCAGGCACTGGAGAGAAACAGAGTCCGAATGGCGGGAACATCCTCGCAGTGCTGGTCTGTAAGGCTCGTCTTTGGTGACATGCTTTCAAGCGCATCACCATTACCGCAGCGGTCAGGCCACACCTGCGGGACGGCTACCGACTGGGGACCCTTGTCTGGGGAAACTGCTGCCCTCAATACATTTGGATCTCAAAAGTTTTGCGAAATGTCCTGCCCCCAGGCAGTTCATTTTTATAAACCAAATAATGCAGGATACATGGCCACTCTAGCTCTGGGGCAATTCCAGAATCCAATGGAGGATTGACAAGTCATCAATAGCAAAGGAAGTGATTTCATTTGTGAAAAATTAGAATTGGCTCCTAGAAGGCAGTCTCAGCCCCATAGTTAACATGAAGGGACCCATTTTCTTGATGCCTCCCCTGGCTCACTCGCCGCCCCAACCCCTGGCTCACTCACCATCCCTCCCCCCCTGGCTCACTAGCCACCCCTCCCCTGTTCACTCACGCCCCTCCCCCCCGCTCACTCACCACCCTCCCCCCTGGCTCACTCACCACCCCTCTCCCCTCTGGCTCACTCACCGCCCCTCCCTCCTGGCTCACTCCCCACCACCCCTGGCTTGCACACACATACACACAGACAGACAGACACACACACACACACACACACACACACACACACACACCACAAGTTCCTGTCTTTTTCCTTGCATCCAGACTAGAGTGCACATATGTTTCTGAATAAGTAAATTATTCATTAAAGTAGGATAACTGGAGTGTGAGCCTGTGCGTTGTTTGGGCATCTTATCTTTAAAATCTGTGAGTAGAATGTCTTAACTGATTTTTTCTAATTTTACTTTTTTCTCTGAGATTTCTTGTACAAATGTTCACTGTGTCCCTTCTCTGTGGCAGGCCTAGTTGTATGTATGTGGATACATCAGGGAACAAAGCGTGGACTCCTGCCCACATCACCTTGTCAGTGAAACAGACAGGAAATAGCAGACTTCACAAATAAGTACATGTTCAGGTAATAAATACTAAAGAAGGAACAGAGTGGGGAGGGGGTGGGGGAGCTTGCACTGTTAAGTGGGGTGCTCAGGAGAGGCCTCGCCAGGAGAGAATGTCTGAGACTTGAGCCAGACTTGAAGGACGTGGCCAAGTGGGCCTGAGCTGCGGGGAGGCCTGAAATGAGGAAGGAAACAGATTTCCTCTCCAGGGAGTCCTGGTATGACTTGCAAGGAAAGCCTCTTTAGAAGAGGCACTGGCAGGAGGCTTCTTGCTGGTGGAAACATCTAGAAGTTCTACTCTTTTCTTGGTGGGCTTTGCTTAAGCATGTGGGCTGCTCGTATTGAATGGGATTTAGAAGCATTCTTCCAGAGGTGACTGTGCCCTCCTCAGGGACCGATGTGGGTGACCGGATGGTGCTGGCCTTCTAGGGGCAGACAGGCACAGGAGAGGCTGCTGCCAGCATGCCGGAGTGGCTGGAGGCTGCTTTCACTGCCTGAGCAGACTCCCTGACCAGTCCTTGCAGTGGGCATGGGCAGCAAATGGAGCTGCTGCAGTGGCTGCCGTGGGGCAGAGACACACACAAGGGAACAACTGATGAGGGAAGGATGAAAACAAACCAGCCACGGCCCGAGAAGAGGTGTCCTCTCCCCGCCCTCTCAGCGGTGACTTCCCAGAGGGAAGGACAGCAGCCAAAGCTTGTTTCGGGCAGGAGGAATCTCCTTGTGCATTTGATGGGGAAATACAGGTCCCCTGCCTCCTGCTTGGTCAGGCCCTGCTCTGCCCACAGGAAATTAGCCCCTCAGGGCATAGCCCCTGGGAGGAGCTGCTCTCCATAACACTGTGGGGACGTGGGCGTCCTACCTTGGGTGTGGAAATTCAGGGTTCAGCCACCCAGGCTTTATCATGAGCCCTCTTTGCTGTGTGGCTGCAGAGCACAGACACCCGAGCAGTTGGCACAAAGGAGTAGGGGACCTTCCCACATGGCGCTGTCTGTGCACGTGCCCACCTTCCGGTGGGAGGTGGACCAGAAGCTGTTCCATCAGGTTCCAATTACCATGCTCTTTAATGTCACCACAGGTGGAAAAAATGGAGCCTCATAGCTTGGCTCCCTGCTGTGCCTAGCTTGAAAGATCGTGCTTTAAAAAATTCCTGTGGTGACTGAAAAGAGCCAGTTGGAGCCTTACATTCCATCTTCAGCTGAATTACACAGAGAATTCTTTAGAAACACCACAGTGATGCATGAAACAGGAAACGCAAGTTATTCACATCAAAGATATTCAAAATGCAGGTTTGACAGTAATGGAAGTCCTTCTTTTGGTTTTCAATTCCAAGTTTAATTACTGCCCAGAGAGATATTCCTGAAAAGTTGTGAGTATATAGAATTTTTATACATCCATTTATTTTACCATCTGGACTTACAAAGTCGGTACCACCCTTTGGTCCAGAAAAGCGGGGTCCTGCCTGTGGTGGTTGTCAGGGCGGCACCCTCTGCCTGGTCTGAAACCATGCGCGTTCCAGTTCTCACCTCTCCCTTCCGGGACAGTCTTCATGGACTATGTTCTCTTCAGCCTCTGCATGGGGTCAACCAGATGGTCCTGAGATCTGGGCCTGGCACAGCAGGGTCATCTGGAGGCAAGCACCTCATCCCACTGGCTGGTAACAAACTTCTTCCCTGAGAGCCGATGAAGTTGAGCAGCTGATACTGAGGGACTATGTAGAAAGGGGCCCCACAAAAAAAAACGGTCCTCCCCCTTCCCCACGGTAGGTGTGCACTAATTTTGAATTTCTGATATTTGGGATATTTGGCCAAGAGATGATTTGACATTTAACTTTTTACCATTAAATATAAAAGTGATTTTTTAAAGCAAACTGGGTATATAAACAGAATGGTAGAAGATAATGGTTCAAAGACTTAGGGA